TGATTCATACGAGCAGAACCTTTTTTTTAAATTTGAGCAATTGTTGAGAAAAATGAGAAAGAAATTAAAATGTGTTAGAACTTATTTACTATTTATGGGAATAATTTGTCTTCTTTTTCGTTATCAGGATCTGACAAGATATATTCAATCGAAAATTCGCCGTTTTCCGTGCACGATTATAATACTCTCTCTTCTTACAAAGTAACGAAGGGAACGCAAAAGTTATCATCTTGGATGTGTGTATGCATTAGGAGTTGTAATGTTTACTCGCAGACACGCATTATAACAAGCTCATTGATTGTTTGACAGATCACATTATGAGGCGATGTTCGCAATAACAAGAACATTCGACCTTTCAAGCCCAATCTAAAAAGCAACGGTACGGCATTGAACGGAAGAATATTCAACTCTCTCTCGACTCGAATAAATGACAAATCAGTGCGTGAGATAGCGTTTAGTTGCATTAGCACTTTTGTTCTGGCAGTCAAACGCAACGGACCTTTATACGAAAGTCGGAGGTGTTCTTAAGAAACGATCTATTTGACTCGGCAAACGAATCCATTTGCATCTATAAGGTCAAAAGAAGCTTTTATGATTTGAGCTCGTCATAGCTTGGTAATTTTATCATTTTACAAACATTGGAGACAATGTGGGAGAGGTTGGTAAGACCCGACGGGCGGACTTGTGTGCGAGACGAGAGAGCTGCAGTCAAAAAACTGCAGCCACGTGCGTTTACGGTAATAAGTCACCGCCAACAGCCGCAACCGAAGACAAACACAAACAGTGCTGAAATATAAATGGTGCTGAAACAACACGTGCTTTCTCCCCCATATCTTCAAGCAAAATTACACGAAAGGCACTCAAATGTTCGAAAATATGTACATGTCCTTATTTCAAAATCTATCTTTAAGGAACAGGTATAATTCAGGGGAAAATCTTAATCTTCATAATTGTAATTGTAGGAAGACGCCGAAAAAATTTTGAATTTTTGCAATTTTGTAAAAATTAGGGGATCTAAAGAAAATTAGATCTGCACAATTCTCTTAAACGCCCTTCACACTATCTAACAACAAAATTTAATAAAAAACTATGGGGCTATTTTTTTTAATTTTGAAAGTGTCAATGGGGATTTATGTAAATAATGAAAACTAAAATATCAGTTTCAAAATTCAAGGAGCCGCGGCATCAGCCAGATCGATTGGGGAATGTCAATTTTGGAAAAACTCGGCTGAACGGTTTAGTATCGTTCACAGACGGATGAACAGACAGATGGACGGACGGTAGGACGCTCAGACGTTTTGCCGTAATCGATTTTTCAGTATCAAGGATAAAAAAAAATGGATTCTGGCTACCCTATGTGTTAGAGGATTCTCCCCCCACCCTATGTGTTAGAGGATTATTTTTCAAAACCTTTGTTTCAGTTTTATTATCAGTGATATATCTGCACCAGTCAAAATTTCATAGGCTTCACTTCAATTAATTCTGCGAATTGTAAATTTCTCACATTGCTAGGATAGGGTATTCCCTGCCCCCTTAAATAGTTTCATTCACGCTTTTCTAAATATTAGAAATTGTTGCGTAATTTCGAGTTGAAATGGGCGGCACCTCGCGCGCATTGCAAACCCCAGCGGACGGCGAGGTCGCCCGCGGCGGAAGTCGCACAATCGTGTGATTGATTGAATGAACGATTGATTTACCACCGGCTGAGGCCATTTCTCCCATAAGCGTAGTGCGTATATTTACATCGATATTTGATTCATTGATCTTTAGTGATTCCGGGCTCGTTGACTGCTAAGGTCATTAGTCACGTAAGTGTAGTGCATGTTTTTCATCGTGAGGTGACCCTGATCCGCCGCTGGATGCCGACATCCGGCGCCGATTTGCCGTCGGGTAGCAGTTTTCTCCAACCAGGTTGTATCCACCTGGACAAGCTCTAACCTCTCGACCGGTCTCAGGCATGTGAGGAAGTGTAATGCACGTTAGTGTGACTGTGTAAGTAAGAGGGGAGGATAGGAAGGGGAAGGAAATATCGTGCCCGGTCCATTTGTTAGGGTACTGCTCCGTCATTTACCTGGTCGTGATCGGATAATCCACGGAAAACTACTTAACAGAGCAGCCGGCCTTTCGAAGTCTCCTCCAGATAGCGACTGAATTCGACCTAGCTGACACGCTAGTGTCGTAAATCCTGCCACCGTCGAGACTCGAACCTAGGAACTACCGGTCAGAGGCGCTGCAGTGACATCAGTTAATGCTCCTGAGCCATCTTCCCAGGGGAAGTGTTTCATAGGTTACAATACGAAAAATTATAAGATTATTTAAAAAGTACAATTAATTTGAGAAAGCATGTGCTGTCGTAGAACCACTGGTTTGATTTTGGCTTGCGCACAAGAATTACAATGGTATCATTAAACAATCGTTCAATTATTGGTATCATTGAACACCGTGCATTTTTCGGGAACTTCGGTAAATGTTTAGAACTCAAAATGTAATTAGTAAACGGCAAATTATGGAATTTGTCTTTTTGATATTGCTCTGATACGCGCGATTTGATACTGGCTTGATGATGTTTCGTGCTTTTATTTTTGTCTGCACGTGCATCAAGATATGTCAGGTTTGAAATGTTTTTGGTTATTAATTTAAAAAAATAGAGGTATCTCTTTTAATGCTTCTTCATTTATTAACTACTGAAGATCATCCTCCTCTCAATATAGGTTTGTATTACTATGACATTATTTCTTGATTTAGTGTACATACTGTCTGAACTTTCTAATAGGCGATTTTCTCGCGTTTGCCTTTTTTAATATTTGTTACTTATTTTAAAAAGAAGGGTTTTAAGTAAGGTTTCGAAACATCAATAATCGGCTATAAGTAAAATACAAAATCTGAATATATTGCGACAATATTTATTCGGTGGCGGCACAATAACTTTTAGGGTGACTAGTCGAAATTTTATTAAGATATCTATTTTACTTCATCACTAACCATTTACAAGTAAAGAGAGCAAACTCTTAAATTTTTAAAGAGTACCAAACTCTAAGATTTTGGTATTGATAATTGCATTATTAGGCAACTTTAAGAAACGGCTGTGTAATAAATATCAATTTAAAAATGATCTAGTACAAATTTTGTGTTCTCACAACGTGAGAAAGACAAATTATGCACTTTTATATTCTGAGTTGTGTTGAAATGGTTTGCTAACTCCTGAGCGATTAGTGTCATTTTCAATTTTTCGAAAATAAATACAGAACTTCTATAATGAACTTCTAAATATTTAATATTTTTCTCTCTTAATTCTTAACAATTTTGATTGTTATGAAAGGGCACTGCTAAAATTTGAAAATCATGCCTTGTTTTGTTTCATTTTAGTATGTACCCATTTGTATTCATAGAACTATGGAATTCTTCTCAAGAGGAAAGAAAAAGGAAATGAATGTTAATATTACGGAAACGATTGTAAATGTCTATTTTGTATAAAGTTCGACTAGAAGGATGAACGCAATGGTCAGAAGTTGACATAACATCATACACATATCTGCATACTAAAGGCTCTCATATGCCTTCAAGTAATTCAAATCTTAAGCATTACGGGTTGTCATGCTCACATCCCAAGGTAAATACTTTTAAGACTTATGTACTGATACAATTTCATTCCATTAAGCAAAGAGGGAGTTTCTAAAGGAAATGTTTAATTCTAAGAGGACAAACTTGTGAATCGACTACCTACTAAATATTCTATAAAATTGCGACATGAGATAAAAAAGAGAAAAAAATCTGCAAATTTGATATTACTCAATGGGTGATAAATGTGAAAATATTTATATTTTGCATATAATTTAAAATAAATTCTAATTTGTAATACTTATATTTGCAAATATACTAATTTCAGAAAAGGTATATTGCTTTAGAGAAATCATAAGGTGTTATTAACAGTGATATAAAGTTGGTATGTGCACTTTCTACTATGTATGTTAATAGTACTTTTAAAAGGTACAACGATTTATAAGTTTTATAATCTAAATTATTGGATACTATTCCTTTTTTCATGCTCAGTTGATCAAAGCACACTTCAGCCACATTCCAAATATTACATACTTACCACAAATCAGATCCAATGCTGTAGAGAATAAAACACCAAGGTAGAATGTTTACATGATGTCACAGAGCATTGCAGAAAACACACATCAATAAAATAAAATACAGAAACAAAAAATCTAGTTTGGATAAAAGATGCAAAAAAGGAGAAATAGACATGACAAGAGCAAATTATACCAAAATAAAATGATCTCTTTATCATGCCAAACATAAACAAGAAAATATTGAACATTAATAGCTCAAACACATTGATATTTCCATTAGCAATAATCCCAATTAGTGCATTCCATATGTCTGCTATTCATATTCCATTATCGCAAAAATATACTTTCACAAAAACCAAAATTACTCTTTGAAATTTCTCTCATTTGAATAGATCTGCCATGAGGCAATATAACAAGTGCATATAAAATGTACAGATTTTACATGCAACTAGAAAAATAAATCATACGTTACAAAAATATTTAATTTTAAAAATTTATAAAAAATAATATCGCTCCTATTCATTTTCATTTTATCTTTTACTACTTTAAACAAGGATTGTATGACAAAAATAGTATGCACATAATTTTTTAATATTATCTACTGGAATCTTCAATATCAATCTCCATACAAAACTTCCAAATTATGACAATGAAAATAATCTAAAATATTAGGTAATCAATATTCAAAAGCAACTATGATTAATAACAAAGATCCTGTCACATGAAACAGATAAATATCAATAAATTACAATGAGTAGCATTAACATCCAACATAGAATTTACAAAAACAAATAACTTTTTATCACAGAAACAATCAACAGGCACTTAACATGTATCCTATCTGAGAAGAATCTATGAAAATACTTATGTAAGTGTTAGTAAACACAAACTGCTGTCTTCACGATAATTAATAATGTCATTTACCTTCTTTGAGACTGCCTGAATGACGTGATTACCACTCCAGCTTTACTTGAGTTTTGGGGGGAATCGTGTTGGAAGCTAGTTCTCTGGGACACGCTCCCCCCGCCGCCATCTTCTTGCATCGAACGCCGACCAGTGTAATACGTCTGTTGAAAAACGTGCACCCCACGACAACTTGCTCATTATATGTATTATCAGATTACTAAAAACATACTTTTTTAGAAAATGTATTGCACGTTTAGTAGATAATTTAGTCAATTAAAAAGTAGGTATACAATTCCACATTATAATAAATGTTTTTAATTCATTTACGTATTCAGAATTCAGGTACTCAGATTTCAAGATATACGTAAATATATTGGGTATGGATATCTCCAAAACAACGATATTGGTTCGCGACGATATTGCATTCAACGAGCAAAACACTCTTGGCACCTAAGATTACATTTCAATTTTCTGACCTGAATAACACCGGTTGTAATGGACGCCGATCTCGATGAACTGGCCATAATTCTTTCCGGCAGTGCTTCGTTTCCGTGGTCGTCGTGCGCCGCTTCGGACCAACTGCCTTGGGAAGACTTGCTGGGGCGATGACTGGAGTCATAGGTCGTTGCGTGGTAGTCCTGGGTTTTCGCCTTGGCTTGGCCCTTCGGCTGCGCTGTTGGCTTCGGCTCGGGCGGCGCTGGCGCCGACGCCGTCTCCTGCGTTAATTCCGGCTGCTGATCCTCGTACGTGAACTGCCCCGTCTCTCCTTTGGGAGTGTCTTCGTTCGAGACGCCTTCTGGCTGCTGGGAATCGCTCTCCGGCACCACAGTCGCATCCGATCCTTGGGGACTAGGGTCGGAATTGTTCGAGCCCACCAGCGTCACAGTACTTAGATTACTGGGCGATGAAGGTGCACTAAGTACAGTATTATCTGAAAATGTTTGCATGTATGAAATTGTTAACATTACAAGTAACGAAGAATCTAACACGTTTTCAAATACGAGGGTTGGGGCAGGCGTCATGGCATTTGTTTTCTAAAAGACATGTTATCGGATCACACAACTTTATTGGTCACGTGAAAGAAATGCTATACTAATGTGTGTTAACAACAGCAGATAGCTCGGTGCGTGTTTCTATAAGCACCAACGAGCTAGAATATACTACATAGAGTGGCTAAAGCGCCTCCATCTTTGAAGCAAATTAGTCATGATTTTTGCAGACAATGCAGCGCCCTTTGGGAAGCAAAGTATTCTAGCATTACGTTTGGCACTGGTTACTGTTACAGGTTATACCGCCCCTTGTATGTGTTGATTTTAAAAAACATGGCGGCCACTAGTTCGGTGAGCCTCCATCAAGAGCGCTGAAACTCTAGGGGTAGTCACTCTATGTAGTATATTCTAGCTGGCTGATTAGCACACAAAGTAATGTGAAATCAGTTGCCTGACCACTGTCGTGTGAGATAAATGTCACCCGTTTGAGCAGCGCTCATACACCATATCAGTTATCCGCAGCAGAAATGACAGAGAATGGGAACATGACACCACAAAAATTGGTGGGAGCCCTTGGGAATTGCGCCTTTCCCACCGAACAGTCGCGAGATGCGAAGAGGAGTTGCCGCGGGGCGCCTATCTTCAACGCACGTGGCAAGATGTGAGTGTGAGCCGATGTGCCACGAGCAGCAATCGAGCATCTGCCTAATCGGGCTTTTACATCGGGGGTGTAATGCTTTTGGAATGTTAAGAACTCGTATACGCTCAAATGCTTTGGAACATAAAACCAGAACTGTTATTTCAAATGCCTTAACAAGTATGAGAAACACAATTTTGATGTGGTGTTAAATGTTCATGCATTTAGTTCATACGTTCTTCTTTTATTATACATTACTCATTTTCTATCCGTGCTCGTTTTCTCACAAAACATATTTCCCATGATACTACGATATCAACATATAATTGTTACGAATTTACCAACTCGTAAAAAAGATTGTACCAATTCGTAAGTATATTTCTTTTGGAGGACTGGCTCGCGTTATTAAAAAAAATGGATGCCTGAATGTAGGTCGTGGTATTTTTAATTTATATTCTGGTTTAAATATGGTATTTAAGGAATAGGTATTTAAGAACATAAATTGGTGGTTCTACAATATGGAACAAGATATCCGCGGAAGAAGAAAAGGTAATAGTTTACCGATTGATGGCGGAAACCCGAATTCACGAATAATATATTTTCTTTTTGTTGTAAATTAAAGTGTTTTATTTAAAATGAAATGAAGAGATGCGAGAGAAGCAGCGCCACCTGACTGTGTTGGAGAGGCGAGTGCGTGGATGCCCCACCTGTGAGCGTCTCGGCGCTGGAGGAGACGGCGATGGTCCTGGGGATGGTGAGGTGGCGGCCGTCGTCCTCCGCCTGCACGCGGATGCTGACGCTCTTGCGCGGCGTGGCGCTGGCTGGCGGCGCGTGCGTGGGGCTCTGTCGGATGATGGGCGGGCCCTCCTTGATGAGCCCCAGCTCGCGCTGGTCCTCCTCGACTGCCCACACACACACGCCGCGCGCACACGTTATTAAGCAATTCAAATTACTCTTTACTCTTTATGGACATCTAGGTTTGCAAGGGGGTTGGCCTTCATCATCAGAATCTAATTAAAATAAAGGTGTAAATATAGCAATCTAAAATAAAATGCTAGAAGATCGTTGACAACGACTGCATATTGCTTTAAATAGTAAAATCTTAAAATAATATGAATTGAATTGCTAATTGGAATTGGAGATCCAGATTCATGACATACCTGTTTTAAATTTGTTTTCTGTTCAATAGACCTTACAAGAATCAGAAAACATACAAAGAAAGGCAGTCTTTACCACTCATTCAAGTAATTTAAAGAGTAATTTTTTGTATACCAGCATTATAAACGACCTTCTCTGTTTCAAGATATCGTTAATAATCGGGCGTTTTACGACACAAATGATGACATATTAGCATTTTAAGCACGAATGATGGCGTCATCACACGTTGAGACAACCGCAGCGAGAGAATCGCGGGGAGAACGGTAAACGTTTTCACGCCTGCCAACGTTTTCTCGCAAAGATGTCACAAACCCGAGACGTCACAATAAACTTGTTTCGCAAAATTAAGTTTGATTCTTTTATACATTTATAGTGACATCTCTCTGATACATTTATAGTGCTGTTATACAAAAACATTGCGTATGGAACTCATTTATAATGTTGATTTATTTCATTCGTACAAGTTTCAAAACTCGCTCCTAACGTCGCTCGATTTCAAAACATGTTCTCATACAATAATGCTTAACATTATAAACTAGATGCATAAACTACTATTACGTCCTAGGGAAAGAAAATGTTACATTCCGAGTGAGTAGTTCCCAGCCGAGGTGACATTAGAATCTGAGGCTGGAATTTACGATGTAACGTAACATTTTTGCCCGTGTGACGTAACATATTACACACTGTGTCTGCTTTCCTTACTTTTATTTTGATTTCATATTGCAATATTTCACGCTGTACGAGTGCAAATAAACAGTTGAACATGGCGCCAGACCCCCCTGAAATTTTAATGCCTATGAAACAATTGCACTGTTCTGAAATTTTAAAATGTAATTAAAAGATAACCATCGATAATAGATATCCAATGAAGCAATTTAAAAATAAATACCTCAGAAATCGGAAGAAATATCAAAAATAATCAAACATTTTGTTCCTGGAATAATACGATATTAACAGGGTTAACGAGGAAGTACTTATGAGATTTCAGACCGTGTTACAGAAAAATTAACAACAACTACTAGTATCGTAAAACACAATATTTTGGGAAAGAGCCGTGGTTGGTACAAATTCTCTCTAGATATCTCAAAACCTACTTTTGCTACACCTCACAAGTAGCCTATGAACTCTCAAAAACAACTGAACTTCTCGATTCGTCAGATGACTTTGATGATGCGACTAAGCCAGAAATCTTCTCTAATACCCTGGTCACTAGAAATATTTAATTTGGAAAGCGTTGGACATGGTACTGATGATGATTTCAGCCCACTTTTCCAACGAGAAGCAGAAGAGTTATTGACGAAGCAAGTTGTGGACATACAATGAGAAGAAGTTCAATTTCTAAAATGTGAAGCATCGCCAAGAAGTGAAATTGACAGATCTTCGGATATCATTAATTGAATAATTCATTGACTCAGCACACTACTTGCAAAGTGACGTGTGTAGTGGATCTGACGATCCCTGTACGAAGTTCATCAGAAGAGATAGTTTTTCAGTACCAAAACTGTGACATACCAACTAGTCAAACAGAAATTAAAAGAAAACGTGAGGGAGAAAGAGGCACTTCAGAATGAAAAAGGAAACGAACCGCCAAATTGCTCTTGCATGAAAATTCATATAATGGTTTCAAAGGAGATCAATAATCATTTAGGATAATCAATGATCATTTAGGGAAAGATAAACAAACTTGTGAAAAGGCAGCTAGGGCCTTTGGTTCACTTTGAGGTTTTTGGTTCACTCACACTGCACGGCCATCCAAGGGGGGCCCAAGAAGCGTCTTCGAGTGTGATGCTATCACAGACGATCAGATATTCACAAAAGTTTTGGCCTTGACAAATTGGGATCCAAAAACAGTGTTCGATGGAGAAAATGTTGCCGACAAAACGCAAAGTCAAGAAGGTTATAGATGACTGGAAATGGTCAGCTTTTACTTCTATTCAACTGTAAACGACACACATTATAGAAAAGTAAAAAGAAGAGGCTACAAAAATGTTTCTATGAACACTTACTACAGACAAAGGACTCAGTACAGCGATGACACGACGTCAGCCACTATCTCCTCTGACAGTTCATGAGAGCCGTTCCCCCATTGTCAAGGACTTAGAGAATTGGCTGAACTTTCTTGACAGAATATAATCGCACCGCCGTCGTTCATCGAGTGGTACATATGTAGAGTTCAGAAACCCTACCACACTACCTTAGCTAGGGAGATTTCGACAAATTTGAAAGTGACTTTTGTAGTAGTCAGACCAGGCACAAAATCTGGAGATCCATATGTAAATGATTTACGTAGTAAATGATTATGTAGTTACTTTTCAGTAGACCCGAGGAGTGGTAAACGTTAAGCTCAACTTCGGTGACGAATGGGTACCGCTTCCAAAACGAAGTAAACTGTCGGTAGCAATTCAAGTTTTATAATTTACGTTGCACAATTGAAAGAAGCAAATTTCTACATCTGCATTTTTTCGTGACGGATGGAAGCAAGCATTGACGACAACATTTCTGACTAGTGAACATATTGTCATGGGCGATAATTTACTGTGTAGATTTAATTGTTTTATTGTATAATATGATATAGATCAGTTTCAAATATTTTCTTTGTAATCGAAGTCCCAATCAACATACCATTCATAAAAACATATTTTCAATATAGTAAACATTTATACATCCTAATTTTTAATTTATTTACATTGTTTATATTAATTTATTAATATCTTAATGTTTTAGTGTAAACGGAATTATTTCAGTAAATGTTGAAAGGAAAAAAAAGAAGATACTTCGTGACGTAAAACTAAAGTAAAACCCCCATAGCCCCACGTAACGCAGAGTAATATCTTCCTTCTGATCCTCTCCTCGATTGCAGGGAGGTGGCGTGGATTAGCGAGTTTCTGCGAGACAGAAAACAGAAAGTTCGACTTGGGCAAGAGTTGTCTTCCGGAGCGAGTGTTACGTCAGGAATACCGCAGGGGAGTGTCATCGGGCCTATTCTATTTCTAGCGGTCGACAATGATCGCACTTAATCTCAAATGTTCGTCTATTTGCAGACGATTGCATCGTAGTATGAATTCGACAGAAGATGAAGAAATGCTGCAACAGGATCTTGATGCGTTATATTACTGGGCGGAAAATAATGAAATGTCCATAAATAGCTCTAGAAGCAAATCCACTACTTTTGACAGGGGTCTTAATTACAGAGAAACAAATTATCAATTAAATAATAACATTATTGCGACAGTTTCCTCATGCAAGTACCTAGGAATCCATTTCGATAGTAAATTAAGCTGGAAAAGACTTACATTTTGTTGTAGGGAAATCCTGACTATCTCTTCACTTTCTAAGAAGAATCTTAAGAAAGAGTACAGAAAACGCGAAGGAAATTGCTTATTTATCGCTTGTTCGCCCGATTATGGAATATGGAACATTTTGTTGGGATCCGCACGAAGTTATGCAGTGTAAAAATTTGGAAAGAATTCAGCGTAGGGAGCTAAATTTACTTTCAGGGACAAGATAATGGCAGGATGCGATTCAATCGAAAAAAGGCGGTCAGTAGCAAGACTCTGCGCTTTGTATAAAGCTTATAGTGGTAATCAAGCTTGGAAATAAATTAATCGGCGGTTAAGTATTCCTTCGTACATCAGTGGGGGGATCCCAGGCACAAAATAAATTTAAAACCGCAGAGAACGGACGTCGGGAAATTTTCTTTCACAAATTGAACGAGAAAAGAATGGAATAGATTGTCTGAAAAATCGTTTGAACCCATTCCTCATAGCGTTCAACACTTAAGGAAATTAATTTAGGCTATTACTATGTGAATGTGGGACTTATCTGAGAAAAGTAGGTTATAGAGCGATGCGTAAGTAACATATTGTGAAGTGAGGTGCCTTGCAGTGTAGAACAGAGAAATAATGAAGGATGTGATTAAAGGGTCGTAGTGAAGTGAAGTGCAATGTGGTCTTAAATGAACAAAAATTTAATGTGGAGTTAGATTATAGATGTTTCTTTTTTAAGGAAATGTAATGTTTTATGAATCAGACTGTTTTTATATCATTACTATATTTATTATTATTATTGTTATTATTGTTATTATTGTTATTATTGTTATTATTGTTATTATTGTTATTATTGTTATTGTTATTATTATTGTTATTATTATTATGACGTAATTTGCATGTTAGCTGTATTATCTTATCTCTTTAGCGTTACGGCATAAAGGGCCGAATCCTCACTGCCGGCGGCGCGGCACCTGGGCCGACGCTGAGGGAGTTTGCAGGCGGAGCCTTCACAGAAAGGGCTCGTGGAAGCGAGCCCTTTCTTAAGGCGGTTTGGCGCACGCTTCGTGAATGAGTGACCTCCAGAACGGTTTGGCGCATGCCTTGTGTATGCAGGTCTTACAGAACGGTTTGGCGCACGGTTCCTAGATAGCGTAGTGACCTTATAAATTTTGAATGCTGTAATAAAATTAACGTATGTAACTCGTTTATAATGTTGCTTTATTACACGCGCAAAAATTTGTACAAAACATGTACTCTTCCATAAAGCTCAACATTATAAACTAATTGCATGAACTTCTATTTCAATACGATGACTGGTGCGCTGCTGGCGTACCTCACACAGACATCATCGAGCTGTCAAGTAGCAGCATTTGCACAAACTGTAGTTTACGTACGTTGTTTGTCGATTGTATTCAAGTGATACTTTAAGTTACGTGGCATAATGTCGCAAAAGTGTGAAACTCATAGTGAGTGTA